CTGACAAAAGCTTGATGAAGTTTTCATTAACCAGAGACCTTTCTCAAAATGCTCAGTCAACCTGACTTGTCCCCAAAACACGCCGCTCAAGAAATAAATGGTGTGTCTACTGACTGTAGGAGGAGTGCGAAGCAATTCGGAGGCACTGCATCATTCGGTGATAAACCTACAAAGAGCTGCGATGGAGAATACTAAATGGCTTGTTTATGGCTGTTGTGGAGGAGTGCATTTAGGACAACAAACTAAGATACATGGGATGTTCAAAGTGAAAATGAATGGATTTGGATCAAGTGTTAAATGAGTACAAAGAAATATAGGGTGCCATATTGTTTGGCAATAAGACAAAAGTTCCATTAGATTACATAAATGGATTGTAAATGGGCGATGTAAAGGTGTGTGACTAATATTATTGAAGATGCAGCGACTTCTTCAAAATGAATGTGGTTAATTACCTTGAATTGATTCATCCTGCCAAGTGAAATGGGACTAAGAGGACCATTTTAAATGGCTTAAACCCACCTTCCACTCTTATTTCAGCATGTTAGTTAAACACTAAATTCTGTACAGCCTAATCATGTGATGCTTATTAAACCCAGAGCATAAGAGAGGATTTTGCACTCAGGTGAAAAATAAAATACAAACTCAATATGCTTGAATAATAGTCGAATAACTTTGTATCACCATGTAATCTGTTAGTACACAAAAAACATTACATTTAGCAAGCTAATTATTTTGTAAACATGTTGATGGATAATGTGCTGCTATATTTGTTTTTAGTTATATACTGTATCGTCGACGACTAATTTAATAGTCGGCGCATCGTTTGAAGCTTTGTAAGATCCCAAAAGACGCAGGAATAAGTAGTAGGATTTAAGAGTGTAATAACAGACTGAAACAGAAGATGGCAGCACTGCCTGTACAAGGATGCCAGCTGCCATTAAACCCCGAAGAAGAAGAAGAAGCTGTGTCCCAGAATTAATAGCGCAGCCCAGCTCAGTTTCCAACAATGGCGGCAGCTAGTTAGTTTTAATATTACTCTTATTATTCTTTCTGGGTCATGTGGCAGCCCTACTTGTCAGTAATTGTAGAAAATGT